GATTTTCCCCGATGTAAAAATAAGGATTTTCCCCGAAGTTGACTAAAAAAACTGCTGCACGGATTATCGGAAAACGAGTTTCCGAGCTAAACTCATTTTATTGAGGATCCTGATAAAAAAAGCAAGGTCTTGTATCGAAGAATAGGTCATCAATATTGGTTTTTGCATTATTATCGTTACAGCTATTATTACTTGAGTTCTTTCTCAAACCTGAAAAATCATCCGAATACCAAGTCAAAAAACCGTCGTGAATTCACTCCCTCCTAGTGATCGAGGGTCTGGAAGAAGCCCAATGATAGCAAATGCCAACAGCAACCATCCGCTTGTGAGGACGTCGGTGGCAACCTCCTTCGAGAGTTGCTTAAAAATAAGGTGAAGCTTCTTTAACTGCTTGGCATGCACCAGTAATTTACTGCCGAAACGAATGAACGAATTGTAGAGAAGTTTTTTATTCCGCTGACAGAGGCGAATCTTCAAATTTGAGCATAAAAACCTGTGCTGTTTGGCATTGCTGCATGTCTAAGTAATTCACGTAGCACCACAAAAACAGGTAATCGGTTTTGACGTTTTTCTTTACAAATTTTCAGAATTCACTTCCTTGACTCTTCCTGTATTTCCCGCAATCTCTCCTCCCTGTGCTTCTGCTTGCTATAACATGTTTTCTAGAATTAATAAATCTCCATTTTAGTCCCATCAGCGCCCCGAGAAATCGAGGTTGTGCAGGTGAATGCATCGGCAGTGAAAGTGAGCTGGGAGCGACCGTTGTACGCCAACGGTGATATCATCGGATATTACGTGTACAAAGATAAGTTGCTGAATGGGGAACCGGTGAACGATAAGTTGCAGCGAAGCATCATATATGACCAGCATGTTAGTAATTTCTATAAATACGACGAGAGAGTTTCAGGCTTCTTTTATCATTCCATACAGCAAGAATGGGCTGCACAGAATTACGTGGATAAGAAGAATGAAACAATTGCTAGCTGCATTAGTAGCGAGAAGAGCGCAACGATGAAACAGCGCCTTGAAACGAAGTACCATAATTTTGTTGCTTTAAAACCGGCAAAGAATACTTTGGTTCGAAATCTATTGGTGCCGGAACTTTTTGGATCTTGATGTATGTTGATATAGGCGTGTACTGAGGGAGAGTCTGTTTGTAGCTAATTTGTCAGACGTTTTTCGAAAAGTGAAATGAAATTTCAGCTTTCTAGCTAATTTGCAGTTTACAACGTCAACATTCCACTTGTCCGTACATGAGACCTAGGGGCATATGAAAGTTGATTTCATGTGTACATACACGCATATTAATGTGCAAGACGCTCACAAGTTTTCAGCTCTCTAACTGCTTTGGCTGCGAAGTTGTAGAACTGCGTTACAGAATTAGTAAAATAATCTAAAGGTAACGCGAAAGATGATTTCACGTACACTGTCTTTTTGTAAAATTTACTACGATATTTAGAAACTCGTTTTTTTTCTTTTTTTTTTTTTTGTTTTAAGGATTTGGCAAAAAAAGCGTTTGCTTTTTTTCGGCTTTAGTTTGGTCGACTTTTAGTACATTTTAGTTGTTACTGTTTGCAGAAAACGCATACGTTGATCACTGGACTTGAGCCCAATACGGAATATGCATTTCGAATCAATGCTTTCAACCGACACGGTGATGGCGAATTCAGCGTGAGCAAAAAGATTCTCACTGGTGGACTGCGTAAGTTTTTGTTGATACACAAAATTTAGCGTGGTACTTCATCATTGTCAAGGAATACCAGCATTTCAGACATCGTGATGCTTACAATCACATCAGTTGCATCTCAAAATAGCTGAAACCTAGCAACAATGCAAGAAAATTTGCTGGACTGGTAATTTGTTAAGGAGCTGAAACGAACGTCCAGATCGCCAGCGAGCTGACTACTAGGCAGTGCAACATTGGTCAAGGATCTGGAAAAGTTCCTAGCTGATTGCGCAGTTGAAAAACGACTACAAACCGAACTGATCAAATATAAAAAAAATAAATTTTTCCCTCGAAATTTTGAAAACATTGAAAATTGAGTATCTGGGCGTATTATTTCTATCCTTGGCATTTACCAGCATCAGTATGCACCGAGACGAACGAGTGAATAATATAGAGAAATTTGTTGTCCTAGTGGCGGGATAGAACTTTCGAGCTTTTTTATGCGAGCACTACGACATATTACGATTTTTATTATTCAGCGAGGTTTTTTTTTCAGCTCCTTCAGAGCCGCAAACTCAGTCCGTTACGTTACTCAACGATGAAGCACCATTACGCGCACGTGTTGACTGGAAACCACCGAAGGTCTTTTTTTTTT